GCACCGACATTTGTTCGTAGGGGTACATCATGTAAATCGGGAGTATATTTATTTATTCTTGGCATTAGCAGGGTGATGATTTGCATGGTTTGGATCATTAACCTGGGTGGGGGCTCACGTGGGTCAGACTTGTGATCAGCTGGGTGGATGTTTTCCGTTATTTACAGACTGAACGAGCGAACAAGAAAATATTTGTTGTTTAGAAATGATCGACCTGACTTTAATGGCCACAAGGGGGCGACGGGTCTGAGTGCAAAAAGATTGGGGAGTGCTTACAGCCATCTTTTATCTACAGTCTACAATTACCTTTTATTACCCTTTAAATGACTGAAAGTATTGAATGAGCCACAGACGCTTCAGCAATAGCATTTATCTCAGCTGAGGGAGAAAGAGCACAAAATGACTAAAAACTGGCGCCAAGTTTTCTGTGATCAAAGTAAATGAAAGTGTAGGGACACGGCGATCGTGGCTTATTCTTCTCAGCTGCTGCAGTGGTGCACAGACAGCTGAGCTGCAGAGGAAAGAGCAGATGCAGCGTGTGGGTCTTTGAAGCTGTGAACAAACTTGACCTGCAGAGCGCGAGGTGGGATAATATTTGCTCTGCCGTCTCTTCGGAGCCGGCTCCCATGCATACGTGTCTGTGTTTGTTCTCTTCCCGCCGGCTGACCAGCACACTCTCCCAATGAAAACTGTCGATATGGCAGCTTTGCCTAAACAGTCTTTTTCCTTTGGCATCATCTTAAAAAACTGCTGTAGCTGCAACATTTACCGCATTACGTCTTTGCTGCGTGTCTTTCCTCGTTTGTTTGAGGAACTGAAATCGGCCTCTGCAGCTTTTCTGACCAGAGTTCACATTCTTCACAGATGGCTGGACTTCTAATGAAATGGGAACCTACCAGTGTGTCGAAATGTGTGAGTGATAGGGAACGCTTACAGGAATCTCTTTAAGGGGAAGACGTTTTATCAGCACACTGAAGGAGGTCAGAGGGACACTGAGCATGTAACCTGTGTGAGGATGAGCAGAGGTTTATACAGTGACTTTAGTACATTTAATGACGCCGTGCAGAATCTGACCTTCATATATGAATATCTGCAGAGTTACAGGCCCTCAGATATGTAGGGGGTGGGGTTTGTTTATATTCATGACTTCATAATTATAGCACATTAAGTTTTCAGTGCTCAGTTAAAAACTAAACTGTCACAATCTAAAGCCAAAGTCTGGCTAACGTGGAGCATCGCTATGATGGGATCTGTCAGGTGCAGCGGAGCAGAAAGCAGCATCGATAGTCTGCATGTTTGATCTGGTTTCTGATTATTTCAGTGCCAGCTTTCAAGACTCATATCAACATGTGGAGCAGGTGGTGCTCAGGGCAAGTTAGAGCAAATGAAAGGTCTCCTTTTTATCTATGTTCGATACCAGGATTCCTTCTGAAGGATTTATGGAGCCTATCGCGTAAAGCAGTGCACACCCTGAACAGGTCATCAGACGAGTGTGCAGCTAAAACGAATAAATAAACAATTAATAAAAAGGTAAATAAGTACAGAAGCAATGTCACATTTTATATGAATTATGTTCTACTTTTGTGTTTAATATTAGTGATGATTAATTTTATTAGTTTCTAAGGTAGATGAGTGAAATGTCTAAAATGATTAAAATGAATAAATAAAACTGTAAATGAAACTGTAGAGTCAATTTTATTCATTTATTTATTTTCCCTCCTGATTAGAAGACACCATCTCTGTCGTCGAGGCAACACTTTGACCTCTTGTCACCCTTTGATGTGTAAAATGAAGCAGAAATAAGCAAAGAAACAAACAAGAAAATACACAAAAATATGA